TCATCTCCAATGGTATAGAAGGGATCATTTCCATTTGTGGAGTCCAAGTAGCCCAGCTTGTACGCATCCATGGTAGCTTCGAACTTGGATTCTTCAGCAGACTTATGATAAGCGCAAAATTTAGCCAAAAACTTGTCATAATTGAGAGAGATGTCGACATTCTTGTGCTTAAGATGGAAGTAAGCATCTTTTCGACTAGCCAAGTCAGCAGCTGAAAAGCTAAGCTTGGAATCTTTCTTAGCAAGGGAACTATTCAGCTCAGATATCATCACCCGTAAGTCAGAAGTCTTATTCTCATAACGAGTCTGCTCGACAGAAAGCTTGCTAATTAGTCCGGCATTCTTCTTCTCTAACTCACTGAGTTGAACAAAAGAGGGGGCAACAACAGACGAGTTCCAAGACTACCTTCAATTTAGACATGCAAAATAAATCATCATCCAACCCTAACAATACTATCCCGCGAAGGGAAAATGAAGGCAACACATCATCCACCACAACATGAAGCGAACCAACACTTACCCTTACCTAGCTGCACAAACCCTGGCAAATGCAAATTATTAGAGGTCCATCAAAAGATCCATGTCTTTGGCCTTCATCCTTGCTGCATGCACGAGGCTATGATGAGCCATTCCCTCTACACCCATATTCAGCACCTACCAGACACCAGCTACATCAATTTCGATCCATGTCTGGTGAGATGACCGAAGCATAATCTCAGAACATCTCGAAGCCGTTGTTGAAACATTCAACCATTTCATGGGTATATTCTTCAGATTTTGTGAATTGTTGGACATCATATTTCTTTGTCTCTTCCAATTTTAACTTGAGGGACTCAAAGTCCAGCATATTCTTTATTCAACTTGTTGGCCAAGTTTCCCATCACTTGGCCACTTGGCCATGAATATTATATTTGCTCTTCCACCAATCTGTTGCCTTAGACAAATATTGGAGATCGTGCTTCACATCAAAGATTTTGTCAAACGGATCATTGCTCTCAGCCTTACTTCCAGATGAAATGGGATCATGATTGGGAGTCAAAGGTGGAGATGGGAATGACACATGCCACGACTGGTATCCCGGGTAACTGACATGGTCGTTTGGAGGGCGTACGTCCGACATCTTTAAGTATTAGTGGGGATAATTCACAGCTCCAGTCTGCAAAAAATAAAACGTTAGATTCAGTATGCAGTTTTTACTTCTGAAAACTAGTAAACAACAATATGGTCAACTTTACTGGAGAATGTTTACCTTTGAGTAAGTTAAGAATAATTACATTTCCCAAACCTAATGTTAAGAAGGTGCCTATGCTTTTGATATATATAGTAACTTGTCAAATTTATGTTCTATTGAAGCAGTTAGTTACATCTCTATATCTTGACGAAATTGGGTATGTAGTTGCTGCATTAATTTGATGGGATTGCACTGTACATCATTTACTCATTGGCTATAATTTAGACCATTAGAATAATAACAATAAAATTGGATTAGAAATAAAAAAAACAAAACCTTACTGCGAATTGGAAATTGTGGATTTTATGCAAAAAATGGAGTATGTAACTAAGCAATTTTTGGAAATTTGAAAAAAAATACAAAACGAAATTGCAAAATTGGAAAATCGGAAAAATACCATACTAGGAAATTGCCAAATTCTGAATTTACTCAAATTAGACAAAGATTGAAAATGACAAAATCGGAAGAACAGCGAAAAAACGGAAATGTTATATGCCTGAAAAACACATACAAATCACTGCAAATAAAATTGGAAATTTGAGAAAATATGAAAATTGCCACATAGGAAAATTAGAAAATTGGAAACCAATTGAAATGGCAAAAATGGGAAATAGGAAAATTACCGTACTTGGCAAATTGAATTAGTTGGTACATTTGTCAAATTAGGCTAATTCTTTAAATACAAAAATGGGAAAACTAGGAAATTGGGAAATTCCAAAATTACAAATATAGGAAAATATGAAAATTTGGGAAAATACGAAAATTGCCACATAGGAAATTGGAACATAGGAAAAAGGAAATTAGGCAAATATGAAATTGGAAAATTGGAAACGAGTTGACATTGTGGAAATGGGAAATAGGAAAATTACCGTACCGGACAATTTGAATAAGTTGGTTAATTTGGCAAATTCTTTAAATACAAAAATGGGAAAAGTAGGAAATTAAGAAATTCCAATTACAAATATAGGAAAATAGTCATACATGCAATTGGATAGTAACTCCCGCCCAATAACTCTTGCCAAATACTCCCACCAGTGAATCCTGCAAATTACTCACTCATTTACTCCAGCTCATTAATATCTTCCTATATTAAACTTCAACCCAGCTGTATGAAGAGAAAACTTTCAATTAACTCCTGCTTGCAACCATTACCTTCCCCACTCATTTCACTCACATTGCATTAAGTCCCAGTTTTCCCCAATTAAGTCATACACCAACCCCCAATAAATACCCAAAATTATGGACCCTAACCTCACACCAAACCCAATGCTTTCAATTACTGAAGGAGGGGAGACTGAAACACCAGCCAAGTCAGCAAATTCACTGACTGCAGACTTAGTCCATGGACTGTAGCAATGTCGAGACAATACCATGTTTTGGAAAAATATCCATGCAAACATAGTTTCAAATTTTTTGGAGGGCCAAGCTAGGTGAGGTGTCATAAAAAAGCGCACAATTCGCTCTTGTTATCATGCCCACATGCATCTCCTACATATATAGGGTATGAAAGCAAAATTGAAAACGCCTCTGCCACTGCAGTTATGGTATTCAAGGAATCTAACGAAATGGCCTAGTTGAAGCAAAAACAAGTGGAAATCGGATTCGAACTATTTTGCAAGTTTGCAAAAATAGTGGATCCATAAGGAAACTAGAACAACATCACTGTGGGCGGGGTCCAAATGTGTCAACAGCAAGAAACTTTTGACACATTAATATGACTTTGGAGACTGTAAAATGTAGTGGAAATAGCCTGTAAAATGGAACTATGAGGTGGCCTCTTTTGTATTAGGTAACTATGGGGCGGGCACTTGTTGTATTATGTAAGTTTCGAAATTGGATTTGATGGAATTATGATGCCTCTTTTTGTAATTGTGCGTATACAGTTTCCTTTATCTCTGTCCAGTTCAAACGATTATAGTGTCAATAACTCCACAATAACCATGCGTATAATGGCAATATGATATCAATAAGAGCACAATACAGTTACAATAGGATCCTATTGCAGTAGGCACTGCATCAGACTCTACCATTTGATTGACTTATACATCCCTTAAAAGACATATGGCCTACATTACACACCTTCAATATGGACTCTATATATACAATTCATGCCTTGCACCACCATCATATCCCCCCTAAATTACAATCAATGACACGACAATATGAAACAACACCGGCAGATTTGAAACACCGGTCTGAAATGTTTTTCAGGATATCCGGGACATTGAAGGCTTTAGCAAATAAGTCTGAGCTGGCGATGGTTGTCACCAACCAAGTAGTGGATTTTATTGGGCCAAATCATGGAATCAATGAGGTGAGGTTGGGAAACTTGGAGTGCTTGCATACATCAGGCAGACGGGTGAGTCCAACTTTGGGACTAGCTTGGGCATATTGCATCAATTCAAGGGTGTTTTTGGCAAGACATGAGGAATCTGTTGGGCTTAACAGTCGTAATGCTCCTTCAACAACTATATACAGTCAAACACATAGGACATTTCACTTGTATTTGCCCCACATTTGCCCCATGCATCGTCTGAATTTGTAATCACAAAAGAAGGTGTAGTAGGAGTATCACGGTAACTGCGTCATAATTGCATTGTAAGGACTTTAATGTTGTGGAACCATTTTGAGTTACATTCCATGCCCTTTAATTTCGTACTTACACAGTTTACATTGCAATAGCAATACTAGTATATTAAAAGTACAATATAATAACAATCTTAAGACAATAAAATTACAATACGATAGTGATACTGTCAATATAAATAGGGAACACAGCATGCTGTATAGCAATGCAACCCAAATTATGCAAATTTAACAGAATTCACATTCCACATAACACCAAACTCACCACAAATAAAATTAAAATTGACAGTAACAAACCAACATAAATCAAATTGTCTAAGAACATTACGCAATGGAATATTGTTTTTATAGGTGATTTTATTGTGGCCTGTGGAACCGCACCTTGAGCATTTTCTTGTAATTGTGCTCTCTCCTCGCAAGGGAATTCTTAGCTTCTTCTATCTGCCTGGCATGACCTTTGTCATTGAAGAAACATTATTTGAGACAAATGGGTGAATAGAACCAGTACAATGTGGTGTAAATGATGGAGAAGTATATTTGGATAAATGGTATTTGCAAAATGATTTTAATATGAAAATTAAAGTTGGGCAAATTTTCTCCAGTAAGGGAGCCTTATTGACTAAGTTACGGTTGACAGCATTGAGAGGCCACTTTAAATTTAAGGTGCAATTCTCTTGCACTAAGAGGTTGCTTGTTCGAGCATCAAGAATTAGAGAATACAACTTCATGATTGTGAGGCGTACAGATATCCATAAATGTGGTTTGAGGTTGGTAAATGATAACCATCGTCAAGCAACCGCAGCACTTGTAGCTATTTCATTGAAAAGAAAGTTGAAGGATTCTCAGATAATATACACACCGAGTGACATAATGAGAGATGTGAAACACAACTTTGGTTTGATTATTCATTATTCCAAAGCTTGGAAAGCGAGGGAGTTAGCTCTAATGTCCATTAGAGGATTAGCCGAGGAGGCATATTATATCATTCTAGTCTATTGCTATGAATTGGAGCGTATGAATCCCGGCACAAAGACACACATTCATACTAATGAGAACAACCCCTTTGTGTATTTTTTTTTTATGGCAGTTGGCACACGTATTAGAGGGTTTCATTCTTCCATGTATCTAGTGATAGCCGTGGATGCCACTCATTTAAAATCTAAGTACAAGGGTGTTATGTTTGTAGCAAATGCATTTGATGGTAATCAAAATATATATCATCTTGCTTTTGGGATTGGGAATTTGGAGACGGATGCATCATGGCATTGGTTTTTCTCTAAACTTCATGAAGCCATTGGTGAGTGTCCCAATCTTATTATCATTTTCTGACTGCAATGTTAGCATAGATAATGTGTTTCTCAATATCTTGAACAGGCAGGGTAGCACAAGTGGTTTAGAGCTCACATAGATGGATGCCGCTATAATGTAATAACAACAAATATTGTAGAGTCAATAAACTCAGTCCTTAGGTTTGCAAGGATGTTGCCAGTGGTTCATTTGACAGGGGAAATTATTAATCTCCTTGTGAAATGGTTCACCGAACGTCGTGAGTTGGCTTTGAAATGCACAATAACATTATGCCCCAATTTTGGTGAGAAGAAGTTGAGGAATAGGTTTGATGATGCTGTAAGGATGAATGTCGTTAAACTAAATAACGTACAATATAATGTTGTGAACGGTGCTAAGGATGGCCTCGTACATTTGACGACCAACAGTTGTAGTTGTAGGAAGTTTCAGCTTGAGCAGCTACCTTGCAAGCATGTAGTTGCACTTTGCCGCTTCTTGAAACTAAATGTATACTCCAAAGCTTCTCGGTATTATACTTGAAATACCTGGTTGGATGCTTATTCAGATAGCATCTACCAGGTACAGCCTCGGGGAATGTGGGTTATTCCTTAAGATGTCCAAAGTCGAGTTAGTGGATTTAGATTCTCCTCCTAAACGTATTATTGGCAATTGGGTTGATGTGTCCAAGTAGCCCAAAATAGGAGGGGCAGAGTGAACTGACACTTCATTTGTTTCAGTACCATCATCACCACCATGCATCTCCTCCACCTTGCTAAAATATATTATGTCCCAACATCACCTCCCACATCAGCGACATTTGTATTATTCCGAGTTACTTCATTGCTTTCAACAATGACAACTAAAGAACGATCCATCCGACTACTATCTCTCGTCATGTGTATACTATTAACTACATCATTTGTCAGTGTTTTATCTTCTATACTCACGAGTAAGGGAGTTAGTTTTGAAGGTGTTACTTCACAATTGTACTTCATAAAAAATTTGACATCATCATTTCCTCAATCTTTATGCGCTTCCACTCATTCGAGGCCACCAAAACTGAGAACTTTAAGCAAACCTAGTTTTCCCTATTGTTTGTATTGCCAATCTGATGCACATGATCCAACAGTTCAACAAATGTGATGATCCGTGGTACTATTAAGCCTTTTGAGTCACCCCCTTCATATTTGCACATCTTCTTTGATGTTACCCATTTTTCATTGTAGCAAACTAGAATAACAATTGTCTCCAATTCTGACCATGACAAAACAACATTTTATTAACGCATTTGAAGCCACGACTAAATTACTGCAATGCAACCACAATAACCAGACAATACTAAATTGCATTACTGATACTAAATAATTAGGTAACTTCCAATTTGATTTATTTTATTTTATTTTTGTTATGATGATCTTTTATAAAATTCTAATAAATAGGCAGTTTGGGTCATTATTTAAATTCGTTTGTGCTTGAGCGCTCGTGAACTCAAGCTCTAAATCATGGGCCGAAGAAAAATTATGCCACTAGCCTCTAAACACGTGTACTACTACATTTCAAATTTCTGTCATGAGAGCATAATGATCAAAGTACGCTACAATTTACGCGAATAAGTGAAAATTCCACTACTACAAAAATGGAAAATTATTGAGATTGTGTTGAGGTGTTTGGGTGTGGGGGAACAATGTCCAACAAGAATGAGAATCATCAGACGGCTCGCTCTCGGTGCTGCTGAAGCGTAAATTGGCCAATGATAAGATTGAGATACCTGAGATTGTGCACGGTCGGGCGAGTCAGAGCAAGAAGGGGGAGGATTGAGTTGTGGGAGATGGAGTTTCTAAGTTTTCAAATTTTGGGGTATTTTCTCTCTCCCTCTCTGTTTCTTCAGTTTTTTAATCTTTTTTACCTGGTCTGCCGTTTATATCGAAGAATGTGTAGAATTGGCTAAGAAGTTTATATTTGATGTTAATCAAAAAAGGGAAAATACTGTCACCCAATAGTTTGCTTAAGTTTGTTGATCAGAATGGCAGAGCGTGCTTATGAGTTTATTACAAAGATGCCAATTCGTCCAACAATTCCCATTTGGGGGGGTTCTTCAAGGGCTTGCAAAATGTATAGGAAGACAGAATTGGGGAGGGTGGTAGCTGATAAGTTATTTGAACTTGATCCTAAAGACTCTGGCAACCACGTAGTTCTTTCTAATATGTTTGCAGCTGCTGGCAGGTATGAAAAATGCTTACCAAATGCCTACTTTTTTTTATGGTAGATTCATCATTTTCAATTCCATTAGCATCTGTATGTTGCATAAGCAATTTATGCCCAGAATCATAAGAGGCTAGAAGCTATGGTTTTGAAGCTATGATGTAGGAGCCATAGAGGCATTGTTTTGCTTTCATATCGGGTTCCTTTGCCCCCCATATATTTGAACAAACTGATTTATGTTTGACAATGAATGTATTGCAGGTGGGAAGAGGCCACTCTTGTGAGAAAGGAGATGAAATATGTCGGGACATATGTAGCAAATTTATGATGCTTAATCACTTAGCATAAGTTCTATTTCATCTTTCCAATCAAGTTTTTGGCAGCAACCATTGATTCAGGAGTAGCTTTCTCTTTGTCAAAGTGATTTTTGATGTTCATCCTTTAATTTTCCTTTTAAGGGTCTTTCTTTATTCATTGATCTTCTTGTTTTGTGCAGTTCTTCCACTACCCAGGTAATTATTCTAGGCTTTGTTTGTTATACGTTTTTTTTATTTTTTCTTCAGTTTCTCTCTAAACTTATATGGTTTAATTTGTTTTTTCGTTTTCGATGGGCATCTGCAGTGCTTGGTTTATAAGCTTTTTTTTTTAAATGTTAATACTTAATTGTAATATTATATGCTTTGAGCATTTTTGGGTTGTATGGAGGAAGGCAACGTTTGTGGCTTTGGCTAAAGTGAAGCTTTAGTCACTCCTTGTCTGCTGCTGTGTTGAAGTTGTAAGAAAGACCATGGCAAGGACACGATCTTCAGTTTGTAAGAGAACAAGACTATAGAGGTCTTAAGTGCACTACTGTGTAGGAAGAAAAGCTAAGGAGAATAATAGTCTCCTCCTATATTGAGAGAAGGAACAAAACAGAGAGTTCAAGAAATGGCTCCAGTGTTTTTTTTTTTTCCCCTTAAGCTTTCTCCTTCTTTATTATGCTTTGAGTGCTTTAGTTAGATAAAAAAACTCTTAACACTTTTGCTATGGTTATTTTTTTTTATATATTTTTTCCTGAATTAATTGTTTATTGTCATGTAAATGGTGAACTGTAGGATTGGTAGAGCTGTACTATAATGGCATCCATGGTGTGGACATTGAAGGTCCAGCAGAAGTTCGCATCGAATGGGCAACATTTATGAGCCATATGTAGTTCCTTTATTTATAAGTATAGGTTAATGCTATGGATATGGTATTTTGTATGGACACAGTAGGAATCAAGATTGGTAAACTATGTAATTACTGTTGAATATTCAAATTTTATGAAAGAAACAATTTTTGAGTATATATGTATGATGTGGGTAATAGCAGATTTGGACTTGAATTTATTGCTTACAAACTATTGTGGTTGTTTTTCTAGTTAAAATCTAAAATGCAAAATCACTACGTTAGTTTTACGGATGATGCAAGACGGTTTTTTCACAACAACTAATAGGTGACGGTTCTTTAAACAACCACCGTCTTTATCCATAAATGACGACAGTTTTTTATAAACCTTCGTCTTACCTATAAATAACGACGGTTTTAAAAAAAAACTGTCATCTTTACATCAGAACAACGACGGTTTTATTAAACACGGTCATCTTTACAGATAAACAACGACGGTGAAAAGCCGTCGTAGTTTGATACTCCAAAAGATGACGGTCGATTTAACGATGATTTTCAAAGCATCACAATGACGGTAAATTCTCAATACTTCTTAAGGAAACTTTTGAACCATTGTGCCGAGAGTTTTGGGTGCCTTTTCAACTTGTCATTGTAATCTATATAAGTGATACCAAATCGAACATTGTATCCAGAACTCCATTCAAAGTTGTCTAGCATTGACCACGGAAAATATCCCTTCACTTTGACACCATTTCTAAAAAGAAATAAGAAAACAAGAAAAAGTTAAACGTTTTGATTTTAATCAAATGAATCAATAACTCAAATATAGGAAGGCTAGACTGTATATGTACTTAATTCATTTGTTAACGAACACTTACTCAATTGCACTTTGAACATAATAGAGATGATGATTGTAGTAGTCAACTCTATGGGTATCATTAAGGGCTTCCACAAGTGATAATTTGGGATCATTGGACTCATCCACACCTACAATATAATGTATTATTATGTAGTCTTTTTTGCACTTACGCATGTTTTACACCAAATATATGTGAAACATGATTATGCAATTGTTTAAGGCTAGAAATAATTACCATTCTCAGTAACATAAATGAGTGGATCATGATACTTATTCTTTGTGTACAGTAAAAGATCTTGAATTCCTCTTGGATAAATATTTAGCCAGTCCGAAGCACCCTGCACCCCCATTTGAGGATATTGATGAGATTGTTAGGATTTACATTTGTATGTGGAAAACAATCAGTCGTCCAAATTATAAGCAATTAATTTAGTGCTTTGATGTGTACCTTTGGACCAATAGGGACCCCGTGACGCTCAGCTGCCACAACACATGAATTTCAAAATCTAATTAGTATATGAAATTTAATTGCTTGAAGTAAGTTCTTAATTTATACTCACATGAAAGATTAACCCGAGCATCTGTTACGTAGCTTGCATGTACAGAGTTATTTTGAGGTGCATCACTTGCATAGTAACCAGCATAATAATTTAGTCCAAGAAAATCAAATGACCCAATCAACAACTTGGATTGTTGTTCTGTGAATTTTGGTAATCGACTTCCAACAAATGATCGCATGCTTTGTGGATAGTCACCACTTGTCAATGGCTCCGCAAACCTACAAGAACGTGAAAATTTCAAATATTAACTTGATAGTTTCTAATGTACTATTGGCTAGTAAGTAGTGAATATTATATTCATAAGTAAATTAATATGCACTTGCCATCCAAGCATAAAATCCAAAGCTCGTAATGCAGCATTTTTATTTTTCGCTTCTTCAGACAGGGGTACAAACCAATGTGACACTAGTGTTATCCCTATCACTCCTTTTTGAGATGCCTACACAAGAACATTAAGTTTGGTTGATTTAGAATCACAAAAATTTAAAGTAGTCGCTCTATTGTTGCCAATTAGAATCCAATATTATGACAAAACAATAACTAATTAATTGTACCTGATATTTATTCTTGTACAATTTTACCGCAGTTACATGCGCAAGGAGTAGGTGGTGTGTTACCAAGTATGGTTCAGTAGATGAATCTCCGCCGGTGCAGTTTAGCTGCTGCCAAGCGGAGCATCGTCCAGGTGCAAATGACCCGATTCCATAACCATAGTTACTAAAGGTATATGGTTCATTCAACGTGGTCCAATGCTTTACTCTATCACCGAATTCCTTGTAACAAAGTTCTACATAGTCTTGAAAATGATGGCTGTACATACACAATTGAAAATGTATATGTTATAATTCTATTTATTTACTAAATTATCAATATTATTCAAAGGATAAAATTTATTCACTTACATAATACGAGGGCTTAAAAAACCACCGTATTCTTCTTCTAAAGTTTGGGGAAGATCCCAATGGAAGAGTGTCGCAAATGGCATCAAACCTATAAATAGCGCATTAAAATGTTCCGATTATGAGTGCATGTAATTGTTATTGTATTGATGATTGATCATGGAAGGTGGGATGACTCACCATTGCGTAGGAGCTCATTGATGAGATTGTTGTAGTAGTTGATTCCTTCCTTATTCACTCCTCCACTTAACTTTCCATCTAATAATTAAAACAAAATCAGAAAATACAAAAAAGAAGTGAATCTTTATACATAAATTAAAGTTAAAAAAAAGTTGGAATATATGTTTCAATTATTTCAATTAAATCTTTTAATTGAAAACAAAATTTTTGTTTATATTGTACAATAGACAACAGGAACACATTATTTAAGTTAAAACAATGAAGGCAGAAATATTGAAGATTGGTCACAAATCAAATGTGAGGATGCAGGTGAACTTACTTGGTAACAATCTGGACCATGAAATAGAGAACCTATACGCATCCCACCCCATATTCTTCATAATCCCCACATCTTCCTACAATACGTAACAATAAATAAAACAAGTCATAAGGAAAGAAAGAAAAAGGCTAAAAATTAAGGATGTCATATTCAATGTCATGTGTTTTTTTCGTGCTTCAAAATTTCGTATGTCCACATTGGGCTCTTCTTAAAAAAAAAGGTCTTGAGAATAAAATTATGTGATTGGTGTACCTTATAACGGTGATATTGATCCACAGCGATATCTCCATTGCTTCTATTAGTAATCTTTTCTGCAATTAATCACAAAAAATCTCATTTAGAGCATAAAGTTCACTGAAATCATAGAATTTGATCTACAATTGATGATTTGATTGGACAAACCAGGATACTTGTGGGTGTAGATATCCCATATGCTTGGTCCTCTACCATACTCTTTTGCAGCACCTTCATACTGAAATATACACACACAAGAGAACACAATGAAGATGTAAATATTCTTGCATTGATCCACGGTCTGAATTTGAAAGAAAACCAAAACACAAATCATGCATTGAAGGGTAAATTAAGGGCCAGAAGGACTTACTTGGTAAGATGCAGAACCTACACCAAATATGAACCCCTCTGGAAAACTGCTCCTATTGAGAGAAGCAGTGTCATAATTAGTGGGTGTAGCTCCGATATCAGCTTTGCTATTTGTCAATGCAAAGCCAGTTAGTAGCAGCACGCATAAGAGAAAATATCCTAATTGCGTAGCCATAACTGCAGGTTTGTTTTGTTGGCAATCTTGATAAGTATAAGGTTGCTCTGGCCGGCATTTTGCATGGCCCTTATATAGAAGAGGAAGTACGTTCTGCGCATGAGAAATGGTAAGCCATTCTACCCTTGAGAAATAGTCAGCAATTAAATTAATTTTTTGTAAACACATGTGGGATTAAGAGGTTGCAAAGGGAAGTTTCATATTTCATGAAGTATGAAACACGCAATGGTGTAAGTAGCCGCTAAGTCTGATCAGTTCTCCTGACCAAATGGGTCAAATTATGAAAAGAATTTGACAGACACTTGATTTGTTGACAATGTTAATTTATAGATTGTTAAATTTTTTGTGCATAATATGTGATTCTTAATTCTACCTCCGAATGCCATCTAGAATGGTGGGGTTTTCGAACATTGAAACACTATGTACTGAAGCTTTAGGCACTTACTTTGGGTTGATTCATTGTTTCACTTCCTCTAGCTCAATTGTACCTAAAAAACGGACATATACCACAAAAAAAAAATTAGTGACAATATTATACATAAACCATATGTATCTCTAACATATCAAAGGGATTATATTAACCAACTACGACAAAGCGTTTGTTAACACACCACTGCAGGCATGTTAATACAGGCAAAAATTCCATTCGGTAAAAAATTTATTAAAAAAACTCTTATATGTATATATAAAGCAAAGGAAAATACTTGCCACCTTCCCTGGAGTAAGAACTCCTACTTTCTTGTCAATCACAATTTGATATGTGTGTAGAGATTTTTCTTTTTGTGGTTTTCATGAATTATTTTAGCATATGTATCAAATTATGATTTGCATGAAGTAGGAATGAAGGAGGGAATCAGTGTCCTAAAGCAAAATGCCTTGGTGGTTAAATTTTCAAATAACACAAAATTATTCTTATTTAAAAAATTCAGAAAGGAAAAATAGGTAAAACAATAGTCAATATTAAAATAAAAATAATGTTTTTGAAAAAAAAATTATAGGAGTCGAAGTCCAACAGAAATTTTCTCTAGATAGTGATAAAATTAAAAAAAGAAAAAGAAAAAAAGAAACAGCAGCCCAGATCCAACATAAATTTTCTATAGATATAAATAAAGAGCTCTAATAGGAGCCCAAGTCGTACATGCGTACACAGAGTAACCTTCCTGGAAGGATCCCCTGCTTGCGTACACGAGGGCAAATCGTAAACTATTATATTAAAACGTCTAATTATGAGGAAATCAATAGACGAACACAGTTTTGTCAAACAGACAGTTCGATAGTTCAAGAAATTTAATTGGTACAATGCATGCAGAGTGAGATCTACAGTCGAATTAAAACATGAAAATTTCACAGTCGAATAATTGGTACAATGCAGAGTGAGATCTACAGGAATCTCCCTCAAATAAGCTTATTTGAGAGACTCATCTAAACAAACACTACAGGCTTGATCATATACAAACCTTCAGCTTCTTCGAGGAAGTCGTTGGCCTTCAAGAAATCTACACTCGATCCTATTAAAAAAAGAACCTTTTTCTTGGCTTGTAATTCGTGTCCAGCACAAAGAAGTTTTCAAAAGAAAGTTCAAACACCAACCTTTCAATTCCTATCTTTCTCAAAGATTAATTTTCAAATTTTCTTTCCCAATAAGGGGTTCCATTTTCTTTTCCATATATTTAAGGAGAGATCTTTATCACGTAACGGATGGTTAAAAAAGGAAAAGAGAAAGAAGAAAAAACGTCAGCGAAAAAACGGGAAAAGGACAAAAACGCCTTGATGGAAATCTTATATTCTGGGAAGAAAAATCACTGAAAGAAAAGGTAAGCAAGATATTTATCTTATTTGAAACGATCTTGAGGTCATCTTGAAAGAAAAGAAAATTGCTCTGAGAATTGTATGTGGAATTCATAACTTTGACGATAAATATGAGGATAAATTAAATTACATTCGCTCTAAAGACGATTGTTTTAGTTCGTTTGAGGAGCCCCTTCATGTTATTCAGGATGCCCTGTTTTGTGATTCCATAAATTGGTCCTGTAATTTTCCGGTTCACTAATAAAGTTTTCCTCGTACTGTATGTACGTCGAGGTTCCCTTAAAAGAAAAAAAAAAACCCTTTACTCTATTGCCTTGTGATGGAAACAACAAACATTAATTTTCCGGTTCATTAATAAAGCTTTCCTCGTACTGTATGTACGTCGAGGTTCCCTTAAAAGAAAAAAAAAAACCCTTTACTCTATTGCCTTGTGATGGAAACAACAAACATTACTTTTTGTTTTTGGTTTGGAGAGAAGGCGATATAGTATTTTATTGGAAAATCAGTAATCGGGTTATTTCGTCGGAGATTTAGCGAGTTTCTTTACACCAATGGGCTCGGTTGTTGGTCCTTATATTTGGATTGGGAACGATCTTGAGGTCCTTATAATTTTTCACGTGATAATTGCTGATTCAGTGTACAAGAATTCTCAAAAAAGAATGTACAGAAAATTATCTCTTGAAACGTCAAAAGAGTAGCAAAAAAAAAAAAAAGGCCATGAATGAAATGCTCCTTCTTTATGTAAAGATGAGTTTTCCATGTACGCTAGCTAGCTATATAGACTCGTTCAAGCACTGGCATCTGAAAATTATCATCAATTCTTCACGCTAGCTCTTCTTTCCTCCAAATTTCAAGAACTTACTTTTTGAATTCAATTTTTTGTTGTTGTTGTTATCTCCTGGAATTTTATATTTTTAGTTGTATAGTTTATTTGAACTGCTTATTGAAGAAGATAGTTCGGACAAAAAAATAATATACAAATTTATAAATAAACCCAATCATAGACATGTATTTATAAAAAAACTCAAGCACTATTTAAACATAGAAACACACCCAAAATCAACCACAAAGTCAACTTTTTGGGTGTGTTTATAAATGGGTTTTGAGTGTGTGTAATGATGGGTTTTGGGTGTGTTTATATCTTTAAATAGTGCTTGGGTTTTTATATAATTTCAACCCCCATTTTGGGTGTTTTAGTGAAACTTTAATAATATAAAAGGCTAGGTGTGCACGTCTCTATGCAGGCTTCTACCTACATATTACCATTCTAATTAATAACCTTTGCTCGTTCAACAAAGGTCACAAGTACCTGCTACGTCGTTAGATGTGCTTCTAATTACGAGCTACGCTAGATGATACATAAAAACAGAAAAAAAACAAGAAAAGAACGGTTAACTATGTATTAGTACCCAAATTTAGGGGTCGTTAAGTGATGACTTGACAGCTTCGACGTGATTTTTTTTTTAAAAATGTCATGGATAATTCTATTTTTCAATCTCATTCTTGGGACAAGTGTTGAAATATGGTGTACTACGAAAAGGAACAAAATTCAAAATCAGAAAATTGGGGTTCAAATACAGAAAATCATGCTTGAGCATCAATATGACGTTAGAAAAAGAAGGAAGGCATATCGTTGAGATTTTCTGATTGATTGAGAAAGTTTGAGGCAATTATAGATTCGCTATATTTAATTTAATGTTTTATTTTATATTTTTAGAATAATTTATCTACAAGGATATTATTTTCCTAATATGATTTTACTTAGGAATATTTTGGGAAACTTTTGTTATTTACTTTTTGTTTTCTAATTAACTTTCCTAGTAAATCTAGGCTTTTCTCTTGTATAAAAGGAATGCGTTGGGGCATCTTGAAAAATTCAGTTTATTACCAATCAAATACTTTTGAGTTTTACTCAATTTTTTGGTGGATTCCAATTTGTTGGTGGATTTCGACATTATGACTTTAGGGTTATCGTTCGATCTCCCTATCCCTTTATATCTCAATGCGTCAGTTGGTATCAGATCTAGGTTTTGCATGACTCGAGGTGTCTCCAATGGCTCGTATAGAGGAAGAAGATAGGACCTATGAAGACGGGGAACCAATCACTCTCAATGAATTTGATGTTGCAGTTGTTCCATACTTTATGGGGATTGACTGCACTGAAGGCTTTCTCCAATGGGTTGCAAATGTAGAGGAAATATTTAATTCAATAATGATCCCAGAAGAGTAGATAGTGAAAATTGTTGTGTCCAATTTAGAAGACAATATCGCTTCTTGGTGGGATTAGATGCGAAAACCGAGAAAAAAAAAAGGTAATCCTATCAGTTCTTGGCATTGGATGAAGAGACTTTTTGTGAAAAAATTCTTTCATTTTGAGTATGATATATATTTGTTAAGGAATGGTTACAGGATTGCTTAACCCAATATCATGGTGAGTCAAGAAAAGATGGAGGAAGATGTCAAAAAAAAAGAAACTTTGATGGATGTTGAATTAATTGATGACATAGTAACCCACAAGATGGATGAAGAGATTAAAGAAAAACAAGAGATTATGCAAATTGAAACTCCTATTGTTGTTGAAGATTTCCCAAAAGATGAAGAACAACAATTGGATTCCTCTGATATTAAAGGTATGGATAAATATGAAGTTGGAGAGGAAAATAATTCATACAAGGAGTTTGATTCTCAACTCGCATATTCTAATCTTGTTTATGGAATTAATTATATGATTATTGTTGGAATTTTAAAAGGTTTCAAAAATTTAACCGTTTTATTTATTTAATTATTTTTGGCTTTTTTATTTTATTTATTGTTGGGGTTATAAATATTTAATATTCAGGCTTTATCTCTAGTTGGTGAATGCCTTAATTTTTTGGTTGGTGAACTTTTATGGTTGGTGAAGGTTACATGTTTCGGATGCCTATAAAAGGCCACTCCTCCTTCACATTTGATACACACACAAGACACACAATACACCATCAGAATATCACATACACATTCTAATTCTTTCGTTTTCTACTTTTATATATATTAACTACTTTATATTATTATTTTGGACAATGGTTGTGTGACTTGGATACCTATATCCGTCTATGAACGTGCTCATAGTGGATTTTGAATTTGTGTACAAGGGATTGTATCTTGGAGTCTTGTACACCGTCCCTACCTGCACATAGGGAGGTTACAAAGGC